ATTTAGAGAGAGGTTGTTCTTGGGGCAAGTTTAAATTCAAATTCTCACAGCCCAGTTGCCTTTCTGTCCCTTTCATGGTGACTTAAGTAAACCAAGTATATGCTAATATGTAATATGTTGATATAAATAGACAGAACTGCACCCAAACTGTGCGCCTGCTACATAGAAACTGTCTCACACACAAGGACTCATGATGAATAATGCCTCTTGGACAATTTGCACCTTACCTCTGTTACTTATGGACTGCTGCAATAGCTTTATCAATAACTATTGCGCTATATGCTCACTTGAATTGTTAAGACAGCTTTTATTCCTTCACAGGCTTTGGACTTTACTCAGAGTGTTCAAACATGCTGCACCATGTGCTGTAGCTATATCTGAAGTATTACTTTTGTATTTTAAGTTTCTCAATGATTTTTGAATTGCACGCTGCATTATTTAATTCACCCAATTATTACATTCTGTTATGTCTTCCCCGTGGTGTTGATGGATATCAGTTGTTGCAATTAATCCAGTATTTGATGTGCAGTAAAGGAATTTACGAAGCTCTTATTCCAAGTTTGTTGGTGGATTTTATGGTGCTCATCTAGTATGAATCAACAGAAGCAGCATGTACAGTATTGTAATCAAGAACACCAGAATTGCCAGAATTTGTCAGTAATTAGAAGGCTATTTCTATAAGCTTTAATCAACAGCATAAATAGGAGTGTTTTATCAAATGCTGCTGTCCTTGAACATTAACAATGAAGGATACACTGAAAGACATTACAGTTTGTGCTTCCCTTATGTGATCTATATTACCAATTTTAATGATACTGAAAACATTAATTCATCAAAATGTCCTGTTTGATTCATTACAAGGCATATGGTAAATCTGGTTGTTTATGGAAAATGCACCATGTACTGTTAATCACTGTAGGTTTATTTAAAATTCAATATAACAAACTCTCAAATTACAAAGGCACATTAAACACGTTTTGATTACAATAACTGAAGCTATGAATGAAACGAATGTACATAAGCTGTACTACATGGACATTTTGGAAGTCTCTATTAAATGAAAAAACATACAAGGACATGCTGAATCAGTTACAAAACCAACCTGATTTGACATCTAACCATCAAATTTTAAGTACACACCACAATTTGAAGGTGGTGACTGTGCTAGAGTTAATCCATCGCTGAATTAGTAATAATAAAAATGTCATTACCACAACCCATCTAACATTAGAAATTAAGTCAAAGGTAAGAAATTGAACCTTTGAATACTAACAACAGGAAATAATAAACAACTAAAAAGCTGGTCTGTCCTTTTATCAGGGGAAGCTGAAATGAAGTGGTTTTCTGGTGTCACTGCTCCATACATGAGGTATCCCTTTCTGTTAGCACCTGCCATTCAGGCCTTACAGTGTGGATACCTTTTGAATTACAGTAAAAGACAATAGGACAGTAAGATATGGTGGATCACAATGAGTCATTTACATAAACCAGCTTGACAGGATGGGTGCAAGAATGTCTACTTCAGCTGAGGACTGATGTTATCATGTATCACAGTATTAAGTAGAACATTCCTAGTAATGTTACCTAATCGCAACTATGGCCTGTTTAAATGTATAAATCATATAAATTATAATTTTTATAAAGCAGCAGCAGCCTACAATGTAAGAAGAAGCCAAAAAAGAACTAAAAAACTGCACAAACTGAAGAAGCTGACGGGTTTGCATTTCACTGGAGTTGTACCTTGACACTTTGTTACAAATAAATGATTGATTGATTGATGGATTGGTCATTAACGTTTTAACCACATTTAAGTTCCCTAAAAGTTACTCTGAACTATCATGAAGTCCTTGTGGACAATTTCAATGACTAGCTTGTTGAGCAAGCTTGTTTAGCTTGTTGAGCAAACTAATTAACATAAAGTGGGATGCTAATTTTAGTTGCCGAAATCAGACTCAAAACACAAAGTAAAGTTACTTCCGAGAAAAAAATGGACAGCTGACTCTTAACAAGATATTTTTAGGCGAACAATTAACTTTGATGAACTGAAAACACATTGTCAGAGGGTCAAAGTTTTAAGGAGAAAACACAGACGTCACCATAAAGCAAGTTCACGGTAACACACACAGAGCCAGGGATACATATCGCTACACCAAATAGACAAGTTGCTGTGGTTGCAATGCCCCAAAGCATACCCCTTCTTTATTGTCTATTTTACTCATAATGATGTCATATTTTACATCACGAACATCATGTTTTTGAAAAGACGTAAAACTTGTGAATGAGAAGTAGGGTCATTTTCTAATTGACTTACACGTAAACGGACTTCTTTTTGAAACCAGTACAGTCGCCCCCCATTGGTCATTTGAAATTACTGTTACATCATCACGCTGAGCTCTGTTATTGGCTACTGCCAGAAGAAAGATCCAGAAGTAGCCTGAGGGGAGTGAGGAAAGTATAAAGTGCTGGTGGTTGAGTCACCTGCATTCAGACCCTCAGACAACAAGATCACTGACATCTTCAGGAGGAGCCACACAGCACTACAAAGCAGAAACCTGTTTATCTGCTCTCTTTGTTCTCATCTTTAAAGCACAGTAAGTATGCTGCTTCTGTTGTCTTCTAAAATATAAATCTAAGTCATTAATTTTATGAATGTTTCACCAGACGCCCTTAGAGAAACTGTCATTTTTAGGCTGCGATTAAAATAAGTTACTGTGGTAAAGTTTTCCTCTAGGCTTTAAATTCAGATATTTGTTTTAAAGAGCAGCTATGTCTAAAAAATATTTGTTTCTTTGAACTTCATAACTTCATGTCCTAAAAATGAAAAATGCAAATTGACGAAATACCAGTCATTGGTTTGAGGGGCTCTCATAGCCCACTGAATGAAATTAAAATTTCACTCCACTCCACAAAAAATGTCACTTACACTGTGAGTAATATATAGTGTTGTAAAGAACAGCCACGTAGTAAATTACTGGTTGCTTTGACCCAATATCAAACTCAAAAGTATGTAGGTCTATTGTGTGAACACACATTTTAATCTTTTTAACAGCAATACCCAGTGTTTCATGGAAAGATAATGTCTTAAAGTTTTGGCATTAAAATAATAATTACCGTGCTGTTTGACAATGATGCACAGACCACTAATGACAATTCCATTTTTTGGAGGATATCATTTCAGTAATAGTCATCAGACATATATTTTAGTAACCCTTGTGCCGTACCAAAATTCCTATCATGTCATGTAATTGTTATTATGTAGTTTAGTTATTTTCAGACTTTTAACCTGGAAGTTTGTTAACATAGTGCCACTGTTTTTTTGTAGGAAAAAAACAACAACAAACACACAGATTTTAAAATTATTTTCTGTATACTATACTTTATACTATATTCTTATTTTTCAACAGTTGGGGAAATGGCAATCATTAGCAACAACTGGTTTTGTTTTTTTGTAATATTAAAAAAACAGTAAAATATCTAATATTGCAATATTAGATTGATATATGAAATAGAATAAAATGTTATTGCTTTTTCTAATACTCTGATTACCCTTAAACGTTTATAGCCTTCTAATAATTATTACCCTCCAAAGGTTCTCTAATTATTACCCCTCAAACTTTCCACAACCCTATTACCTTATTTTGTTTTAGAAATAAAGCACAATACGAAATCACTTTCAGAACAAATAAAAAAATGTCATGAGAACTGCTTGCACTCTACTCATAAGGTCATGCAATCACATACACTTGCATTTAGGCACACAAGTAACCTACACCCCTACAACAACACACACACACACACACACACACACACACACACACACACACACCAGTCTTCAAGATCCATATGAACACACATCCATTATTTTAGTAACATACATCAGCCTGCAGAGCTCTGTAATACAGCAGCAATGCCCCTAGTGGAAACTAGCAAAATAGCATATACTTGCCCCATAGGACAAATATCAGAAAATGGCTCAGTCTGGTGGAACGTAGTTAAAGCTGCAGTTTTGAAACCAAGGCTCCAGATTAAGCCTGATATAAATATTGCATGACTTTATTCTGTAATGGCCATGGTATCAAATGTTGGGGCTTCAGTGGGTTTCAATGGGGGCATTTTTGTCCTTAAGGATCTGAGTGTCTTTGTTTAGTCCACATATTTTCTGACAGATAGCTGAGGTTGAACTTCCAAAGTTTAAAAAAACCCTCATACCCTTGTCAAAATGTATTCCACATGCATTAACACAGCCGAAATGATCAAAAATGGAAAATGAGAAAGCCAAAAATGTCCCCAGTAATTCACAAAGGTTAAACTGACTTATAACAAAAAAAAAGTAAAAAGAAAAAAAAAAAGGTGAATCAACTAAGGATGGGCAAGATTCTGTAGATTAATTCATAATGTTATGATGGTTACTGTATGTATTTACTTTTTACATTTTTCTTTCTAATTTTTGTCTTAACACTTTAGGGCACTAATTCAAAACAACCAAGATGTCTGCAGCTAAAGGTGTAGCAATCGGCATCGACCTGGGCACCACCTACTCCTGTGTGGGGGTTTTCCAGCATGGAAAAGTAGAAATCATCGCCAACGACCAGGGCAACAGGACCACCCCCAGCTATGTGGCGTTCACTGACACCGAAAGGCTCATAGGGGACGCAGCCAAGAACCAGGCTGCTTTGAACCCCAGCAACACTGTGTTTGATGCCAAGAGACTGATTGGAAGAAAGATAGATGATTCAGTGGTGCAGGCGGACATGAAGCACTGGCCCTTCAAGGTGGTGGGAGATGAAGGGAGGCCCAAAATTCAAGTGGAACACAAAGGAGAGAACAAAGCTTTCTACCCTGAGGAGATTTCCTCCATGGTTCTGGTGAAGATGAAGGAGATTGCTGAGACCTAACTCGGCCAAAAGGTAACCAAAGCAGTCATCACAGTCCCAGCATACTTCAATGACTCCCAGCGACAGGCAACTAAAGATGCAGGCGTCATCGCAGGACTGCATGTCATGAGGATCATCAATGAGCCGACAGCAGCCGCCATCGCGTACGGCCTGGACAAAAGCAAATCAGGAGAACATAATGTCCTGATCTTTGACCTGGGTGGAGGCACCTTTGACGTGTCCCTACTGATAATTGAAGATGGTATCTTTGAGGTCAAAGCCACGTCTGGAGACACTCACCTGGGTGGAGAAGACTTTGACAGTCGCATGGTCAGCCACTTTATGGAAGAGTTCAAGAGGAAACAGAAGAAAGACATCAGCCAGAACAAGAGAGCCTTGAGGAGGCTGCGCACAGCTTGTGAAAGGGCCAAGAGAACCCTGTCCTCCAGCTCCCAGGCCAGCATTGAGATAGATTCTCTGTTTGAGGGCATCGACTTCTACACCTCCATCACCAGGGCTCGCTTTGAGGAGCTGTGCTCAGACCTGTTCAGGAAAACATTAGAGCCGGTGGAGAAAGCCCTGAGGGACGCCAAAAAGGACAAGGCACAGATCCATGACGTGGTCCTGGTTGGAGGCTCCACCAGAATCCCCAAAATTCAGAAACTCCTGCAGGATTTCTTCAGCGGCAAGGAGCTGAACAAGAGCATCAACCCAGACGAGGCAGTGGCATACGGTGCTGCCGTCCAGGCCGCCATTCTCACAGGTGATACCTCCGACAACGTCCAGGACCTGCTGCTGCTGGACGTAGCACCTCTGTCCCTGGGTATTGAGACAGCTGGAGGAGTCATGACATCCCTGATTAAACGCAACACCACCATCCCCACTAAACAAACCCAGATCTTCACCACCTACTCTGACAACCAGCCCGGGGTCCTCATCCAGGTCTATGAGGGGGAAAGAGCCATGACCAAGGACAACAACCTGCTGGGCAAGTTTGAGCTGACAGGAATCCCACCTGCTCCACGTGGGGTCCCACAGATCGAGGTCACCTTCGATGTGGATGCCAATGGCATTTTGAACGTGTCTGCAGTGGACAAAAGCACCGGCAAAGTGAACAAAATTACCATCACCAACGATAAGGGCCGACTGAGCAAAGAGGAGATCGAGCGAATGGTGCAGGAGGCTGACAGATACAAAGCTGAGGACGACGTTCAGAGGGACAGAATTTCTGCCAAGAACTCCCTGGAGTCCTACGCCTTCAACATGAAGAGCAGTGTGCAGGACGAGAACCTGAAGGACAAAATTAGCGAGGAGGACAAGAAGAAGGTGACTGAGAAGTGTGAGGAGACCATCACCTGGCTGGAGAACAATCAGCTGGCTGAAAAAGAGGAGTACCAAGACAAGCAGAAAGAGCTGGAGAAAGTGTGTAGCCCCGTCATCAGCAAGTTGTACCAGGGAAGAATGCCTGCAAGCAGCTTTGGAGAGCAGGCACGAGCCAGCTCCCAGGGGCCCACCATCGAGGAGGTGGATTAAAATGGCCCTCATATGGTCTGTGTTATCACTGGGACTGTCTGAAATACAACTAAAACTAAATACCTCATACCCATATGTTTTTATCATCATTACATTTGTGATAAAAGTTTTGGGTAATAAGTGCCATCCTCATGTACTTTTCATCACTCCCTTGCTGGAAATTGCAATAAAGATAACACATACATTTATTTTTTTGTTGTTTTGGTTTTATTGTTCTGGTCTGTAGCTTAAGTCAATCATTCATTTAGAAGATGGGAAGTTGTTGTGCAGTGGTTTCATATAAAGTAGGAAGAGTTGCAGTACAAAGATGTTTAAATAGAACGAGTTAAAGCAGATGAGTTACAGCCATGCATGGGTACTAATAGAGGAAAAACTGTCTAGAAAGGTGCAGTTACTGCCTCCTGAAATTTTTTTAGAGCAGGTCTGTTTTGTCTTTGTCTAAACTATACATCTGCACAATTTTAGTCTACATGAGACAGATAATCTGTAAATAATCTGCAAAAATTATGTCCCTGTTGCATATATATTCTGTATTCACCTATTTTTTCACATACTGTGTGGCTAATACATAATAATACTGTCTGTTATTTACCTTAGCTGTTATGTCTATATTGTTAAAGTACAGTGAGAGCAATGCAAAAAACTGGAGTCAAATTCCTTTCACGTGTACACATAATTCAGGAGTTTGATAAGTGGGTGGGTTGGAGGTGTACTGCTTGAGGGGCCACAGGATGGAATAGAGCGCCACGCCCAGACAAACACAGACAGACAGAGCGAACAAACAGGACCAACCAGAAACACAGGGGGGGCAAAACAGCAGAAACACAATGACTGAGGTACAGGCACAACAGGACCATAACACATTGTTGAATATTAATACCAAATCATGTCCAGTAAGTACAGTTTCCTTTCCAAAAAATGTTTTAAGATACAAGTAAAGAATCCGCCTTAAACATTGTCACATATGCACACTGGATAAACAGATGTTGTCATGTTCCAGATAAATGTAATCAGGTGAACAGCATAATATTTCACTCTGATATGTGATGGAGTAGAAGAAGGAAGTACCATGGAAAGAAAAAAGTCAAGTGAAGCACAAGAACCTCAAAACTTTACTCAAGGGAAGTAGCCGACTTGAGGAAATGCACTGACATTCCACCACTTTATTTATTTTTATTTCTATTCTAATTGTATTGTTGGTCATTTGTGCTTTTTATAGATATAGCATATTTATATATAATATTTGACGCCTATACATTTTGTGTAAGTACAATGAAATTTGACAGCCACATATGAATCCACATTGAGGTTTTTCAATTACTTCATTTAGGCCAGTCTTTAGTTGCTTTTCTGATATGGAGGCAGTCATTTTATAATCATTATTAATTAGTGTAATTGGTCTCAGTTATCAGTGAGTAAGGGATCTTTCTTTGATTTGGGAGTTAGAATGAGATGTCTTTGCCTAATTGATGGGGATAACTCTTCCTTACAGGTAGCCTCATTATAAACAGTGGGTAAATATTTTGCAATTAGATTGGCTAAAACTTGATCAAATTCATAGGCAAGTCCCTCAGTGGCTTTTACACCTGAAAGTATCTCCTCTAAAATCACATTTATGGAACATTTTTTGGGCTGCTATGATGCACAGATTGTGTCTCCAGATTTGTGAAGTGGTGTTGTTTGGGGTACTTCAGTATATTACATGTCAGTCGGCACGCCTCCAGGTTGGAGAAGCAGGTCGGAGTCCAACATTAAGCTAAGCAACGTATTACTGTGGATGGGGGCCGGCAACAAAATGTGTCTCATCTACCCAAAAAAGTCCAACTTAAAAAAAAAAATAGTGGTGGCACGATGGTGCAGCGGTTAGCATTGTAGCCTCACAGCAAGAGGGTTGCCCCTTGCCACCTCCCAGGGTGGGGGAGCCCTTCTGTGCATAGTTTGCATGTTCTCCTCATGTCAGCATGGGTTTTCTCTGGGTACTCCGGCGTTCTCCCACAGTCTAAAGACATGCAGCTTAACTGGTGACTCTAAATTGTCCGTAGCTGTGAATGTGAGCGGTTGTAGGTCTCTATGTGTCAGCCCTGTGATAGTCTGGCGACCTGTCCAGGTTGTACCCCACCTCTTGCCCAACGTCAGCTGGGATAGGCTCCAGCCCCCCTGCAACCCCCAACAGGATAAGAAGTTATGGAAAATGAATGAATAAAAAATAGTATGAGTTACACTATATTTAGGATGATTTCACCTCTTTATCTTAATGTCAGACAGTGATTTCCACATAGAAAATGAAGCCGGTATATCACCCTCTTTAAAGCCAGACTCCGTCGAATAAAATCAGTGATTTAACATTGCTGAACACAAGAGCTGCTGGTTTACCTCTGCCTCAATCATTTAGTTTGTTTGTGTTATTGTGTGACTTTGGCTTTTAAAAGGGTTCATTTAGATTCACCAAAGTCACACAATAACACATTGACTGAAGCAGCGTTACACTAGCGGGGCCTGAGTTGTAGTTAGTTGAAGTGGAGCTCATTTTGAACTTTGTTTTTTTTGTTGTTTTTTTTTTAAGTAAAAATAGTGAGAATTGCCATAAAAATAACTCAGAGCCCAAAGTGACACATTTACAATGTTACAATGTTGTTGTTTTTTTAAAGATTATTTTTATGGGCTTTTTGCCTTTATTGACAGGACAGAGAGTGAAATGGGGAGACAGAGAGAGAGTGGGGACTGACATGCAGCAAAGGGCCGCGAGACTATCCACTACGCTACCAACGCCCCCAATGTTACAATGTTTATTCTGTCCAACCAACAGTCCAAACCTCAACATTATTATTAATACATTACAATTATTACAGTTATTACAAAGAAAAACCAGCAAATCTTCACATTAGTGAAGCTGAAACCATGAAATGTTTTTACATAAAAATAATCAATTCACCAATCAAAACAGTGTCCAGTTAATTGTTTTAAAGACTCCTCTGTGTTTTGTGTGCAAAAATATTAATTTGTAATGTAAGTGAAGTTGTCATATAACTGTAGCCAGGTAAAAAGTATAAAAAAGTATAATGTTTCCCTCTGAGATTTAGTGGAGTAGAAGTAGAAAGTGCCATGGACAGAAAACACTAAAGTAAAGTAAGTACCTAAAATTTGCACTTAAGTGAAGAACTTGTATAATATGTCTACTGTATATAGTATTTATATAGATACCTATTTTTTCCACAAATGTGTAGCTTACACATAATAGTCATGTCTATTCTCTACCTTAGCTGTAATGTCTATTTTGTATGTACAATGAGATGCAAAAAAAAAAAAACTGTTCATTTTGAAAACATTGTGCAGCCTTTTGCTACGTTTTCCAGGGTGAATGACATGTTTCCTCAAAACGGCGTGAACAGTGTGAAACGGGCTTTATATAGTATGCCTAGTTTTTTTTCTTACTGTACATACTTTTTTTTTTATTTAACACTTGGTTTAGAAATGTAAACATATGTTTCCCATGTCAAGAAAACCTCTCAAAATAAAAACAAATGAAAACCCGCCATTTTAAATGACAGTGCATAAGACAGTAGGGTGTTAAAATCACCACAGTTTCTGTTTAAATACATGTTTTGTTACATTTTGGCAGGGCTGAGTGTAGCCCTTAAGTCCTTTTACATGTAGAGTGTTGACGTGTACATACTTGGCTATTACATCATGCAGGAACTTATGGGTTGCACATGTGCTAGTTGAGGGGCAGCAGGAGTGAAATAGACCTTTTTCCCAGCAGACATTTTGACTTGTCATTGTAGGAAGAGCTCAGGTGAAACTGTTAACACGAACAATGACTCAAGTCAAATCAAATTTATTTATATAGCACATTTAAAACAACCTCGGTTGACCAAAGTGCTGTACAGTTCCTCCAAATATAAATAAATAAGTTCTATTAAGTGTCTACGTTATTCCAATGAGCCAGCATGCACAACACCAAGGTCTCCCTTAAATGGAAGGTGTGCTTAATATATTAACTTTGCTTTTCCTACTATGACGTTACAAAATGTCTGCCGTAAAAAAGGTCTTAGGCCCAGAGACGCATACACAGACAGACAGGGAGAACAAACAGGACCAACCAGAAACACAGGGAGACCAGAACAGCAGAAACACTAGGACTGGGAGGCACAACAGAACCATGACACACTGTTGAATATTAATAATAAATTGTGTCCTTTCAGTACAGTTTTCTCTCCAAAAATGTTTGAAAAATCAGCCTTAAACATTTTTACATTTGCACAATGGATAAACAAATTTTCTAGTGTTTCCACTGTTACAGAGAGAACATTAATCTTCTGACTGTCTACAATGTAGTCAGGTAAAAAGCTATAGTATTTTCCTCTGAGGTGTCGTGGAGTACAAGTAGACAGTGCCATGGAAAGAAAATACTCAAGTAAAGTAAGAACCCTTAAATCTGTGCTTAAGTGCAGTACTTGAGTAAATGCACTGACATTCCACCATTTTTTACATTTATTTTTATTCAGTTTTAATTGTTGGTCATTGGTGTTTCGTTATGTTATATAGGGTATATAACATATCTATATCAGATTTATATAAATAGCTTTTTTTTCACATCGTCCTGTCTATTCTTTACCTTATGTCTATGTTGTGTAAGTACTAAGAGCAATGCAAAAAAAACAGGTTTGCTATGGTTTCCAGGGAGAACGACATGTTTCCCTGAGATGTGGTGACACAGTGTACACTGGCCTTTGAGGTACTGTATGTTTTCTCTTGTTATATGGGTGTGTCAGAGGTGTTACCCAGTCAGCAGCGACTGTACATAAAGTACACTCTACTAGGCCTCGATCTTTACTCAGTGTAGCCACATTAGGGTTTTTGTTTCACATTTGCTCTGGAAATGCAAACGTGTGTTTTCCATGCAAATAAAGCTCCTTAAAACTGAATAGGCCAGAATTAGACGCAGCCTTACGCAGTGTGCTTGCGTAACACAGCAGGGTGTCCAAGGCACCACAGAGTCT